CGTTTATAAAGAGAATAGACATTTCAAACCAACTAATCTGTTTTATCGATCCCCAAATAAATTGCGTTAGTCGACTTCGGGGATTTTTTCCGCCATTTTCCTCAACAGCTCGCAGTGATTAACGCCTACGGTGCGCAGAGAAAAATAATTACAATAACGTTTCATCAGACTTAGCTATACGTTGCGTAAATACATTCACTCTTCACAGTGTTCACATTGATTTAATATATTTTTATATACATATAAGTATGGTACAGTGGTAGAGTAGATTTATTGTATAGAATGTGTTATATCACTTGTTCGATTTTTGCGCAGATAAGTTTTTAGCGTTTTAGGATAATCGAAAGGTCAGTGGAATCGTATTAGTTGGGTTGGCTTTAAAGGGCACCATAATAGGTAGCTAGTAGATATTTCAAAAATATGTGTTATTACGGCAGGTATTCTAACACAAAATAAATATAAAAAAACCGACACAAAAAAACATGACTTTTAAGGGATTTTTGTTCTATTTCTTAATCTATCGTTAAAACTGTAAAATATAGAGGACCTCAATATTATGTTATACTGAAAATTATTCAAGTGAATTCAATCACTGTACAATAAATCTTACTTTATTGTATATAGGTACATACCTACAAATATTTTTTTGAGCATTACATTATATATTTATTTCTATTCAAATTTAGTTTTTTTATCATAAATATATAGCCTTATCAGTAAACAGAGTTTAATTATTCTCATTAAATATTTCCAACTACTAATAAAAACACTTCCATTTAATATTTAAGTCTAACTTTTATCTGCTAAAAGAATTTGCTTTAAATTGCATTAAAAAGTACAAAGAGCAAAGCAATTTCGGTATGCTAGTTTAATTAGAAAGGTACAGTAATATCTTTATTTCATTTCACGACCTTTATGTTACTATAAAAGTAGATTAGTCTTTTCGATTTTAATTTGTACCGCCTATGACCCGGCGAGCCCGCAGAAGTAGGATAATCCGGCTAACATTTTTTGTTTATCTTTTGCATGCACTGCTCTCTCAGTGTTCAGAGGCTTAGATGTCCAGAAGCGCTACATATGTATATTATTACGTTACATTATAAACATTCAGTAGACACATCTGCTTGCAACATCTATACATATAATAAAATTCTAACTGCGTCGAATCTGTACAATAAATATTTTTTTCGAAAATCTTCTTGAAATAGTATTTATTATATCGATATAGAGATGAGTTTATGCTTTTTAGAAATTTTGTCTGTGTGTCTGTCGGACAAAACCACTGGATAGAGTTTGATGAAATTTGGTACGATGATAGCTGATTGTACGGGTCAACATATTATATGATACTTTTTACTGCAAGTAAATATCTCATCTTTGAGAAATCTATACTAACCGTTAATATGTACCTAAGGGCGAAACAGCGAGGGTGAGTCGCTAGTTATTTATACATATAGCTAAAAAACTTTTTTTAATCGCTAATAACAATTTATGTATAGAATTTATCCGAGATTGTTATTGAGCTTACGAGGTCGTTGTTTGTTTCAACTTGCTAAGACTAAATGCAATATTTGTTGTACACGATTTTATCTCAGTGGATCGTTCGAGGAAAATAGGATTTCAGATATAAGCTTCTTAAAGTTAAAAATACAAAACAGCAAAATACGTCCACTACTTTTATATTATGTAAGAAATACCTTTAAGAGATCTTGATCCTGGGCGTAGGTGGGTGGAAATTTTTTCCAATTTATCTCTAGTAATACCAAGCTCGGTATGCCTTGAAAGCTTATTACTAAAGATTTGTGCTCAGTTGTCTCCATTTCCATTTACGAAGTCGCAAATTTGATATACAGGCACGCACTAATTGTTTATACTAAGTTATAGCGTTTATAGCTTTGAGTTAAAATGAAGCCACTTACAATAATACTAGTGATTTACCATTACTTCGCTCGTGTTCGTCCTTAGGTACGTTTTAACGGTTAGTATGGAATACAACCCACGTTACAATACAACCCACAGTTGTTGCGGGTTGAATTATAACGTGTTCGATTATCTCATTCCCGTGGGAATAAGATATTCTCCCGCGGTGAAAAGTAGCCTATGTCACTCTCCAGCCCTTCAACTATCTCCACACAAAAAATCACGCTAAACGTCACTCTGTTTTGAAGTGAAAGAAGGACAAATGGACAAACAAACACACTTTCACACTTATAATATTAAAAATACAGTATGGATTGTTTCTTATTATACCTCCTACTCGTACATGAAGTTACATGGTGAAGGCCATAAATGTATATAGTTAAAAGAGGCTGCGTTATTATAACTTCATAAAAAAAATATCGCATAGCTATTAGAAAGGTGTTTTTTTAACAATTTATTTTACATTTGTAAACATTTATATAAAACCATATTTTTGCTGTGTCCCATGAAAAACATATATATATATATATATATATATATATATATATATATATATATATATATATATATATATATATATATATGTACGTTTTTCTTGGGACATATATATATATATACATATTCTTCAACATCGTCCATAATAATAAAGTTAATTGGCAGGCACTTTACAAATCACAGATAAAATCAAGAGCGACAGCTAGGCTCATGCAATAAGAACGTTAAAATTTTTATCAGAATATCTAAGCTCAAGCTCAAGAAGAAGGAATCCTCTCATAATGTCTACAAAGTAAGCACAATGAACGGGACCATGTTAAAAGATTTTTTTTTGTAATTTCGTATGCCATTGTTATCTTTGTGATACATTAATATCAATTTTTCTAGACGAGCTTTAGGCCTTGACGAAAGATGAAAAGGTTCAAGCTACGAAAATGGGAGATAATAAAAGGATAAAAGTTAGAAAACTATGTTCAATCTAAACTTCAATGCGGCTTATATATTATTTCTTTTCAATATTGAAATTCGGGTTAAAACACTTTAAGTGTTTTTTTTAAATAAAATATCTACTTTCAATGTTCCACAATATATTAAGAAATCCTTTGATAAAAGCTTATGAAAGGAACATAAAGCATACGAATATACAACAATAGAAAATATTCTGTTTTCTTATATTATGAGATAAATATTCTCAGTATAAAACTTATCGTGTGGGAATTCCCCTATGAAGGCTACATTCTATGAGATATACTTACATGTTTAGCGTTACGCAAATATAATAGATAATACCTTGCCTTCTCTTTAATTTTTAATAAGACGTATGTATTTATCTACACTAATATTATAAAAAGGTAAAGTTTGTAAGTTTGTTGTTGTTAGTTTATAGTAGATTTTGAAGATTGTTTGAGACTCTGGGAAGGACATAGGATAGTTATTATCCCAGAAATCATCCCTTAATGGGGTGAAAAGGGAGAAGAAAGTTTGTATAAGGAATCAATCATTTCTTAAGTGATATAAAATCATCATACCTATGTATATATACATATATGCACGAATATATAGTGTTATAAACCAAACTATTGTATGCGCACGCAAAAACCTAAGAGTCTGTGTCACATCATTTTGACTTGACAGTGACAACTGTCACTTGACTTATCTATGCGCCGGCGACCCCTGCTGTCGCCCTTGCCGTTGGAACCTTTGAAATATACGCCGCGTGTTTGATTCATCTCGGTAATTTTGCCCTTTTTTTGTGATGGTTTTTGTGTGGCATATCTTAGATTGGACTGTTAAATAAGACGTGCAAATAACATATTGATAATTGTACATTTTGATAAGCACGGGGCCCGTTTTGAGTGCATAATTGCATCGCCCACGTGCCGACGTAAAACTTGTTAAATAAGAATCAATTGACTTTATTTTGTACTTATATGAAAGTGAACTGACAATTCAGTGTAAACTTGTGCGTATTGAGAGTGCCTACGCCGTATGTCGGCCTTCTAGGCGCATCCTGGAGCATCTTCATCCTGCCACCTTCAGTTGAGTATAATCAGTTAGCATTAGACGTTATGATTGGCCAATTGTAGTTTAATGGTAATTAGATTTATACCTAAGGCAGCATCATTGAAGGAGAAGAACGCAAGGTACTTTTTTGATATATATAAGCGCTGTGTATCGCAGTCATATGTTTCGTCCCCCTTGAACCTGGAGACATTTCACGCTTCCACTCATCCACTCTGGTAAAACCCCAGGTCGGATGTAACATCTTTTGGTAGCAGAGCGTAGTTTGGTTTATAGATATTAAATGTATTGTATACCTCGCTACTTTGTGTAAAATTAATTACAAGTTATTGTTACTGAACTACTTAAGATTTCCATTTTATATGAAACAATTCATACTCTTTAAAAATGTGTATGTGAATATTGTAAAAAGCTCAAACATAAAGTTTATTATTAAACTTATATAATTGTTTTGTATTAATGATTTTAAAGTTAACTTGTTGATAAAATACTTCAATTTGATTTCATACATATGCAGTATTTGGGTTACTTAAATAAATTTAGTAATTTGTTACTTTAAACATAGTTTTACAAATTTGCAGTAACACACAAATATTAATAATTAAACTTTAAAAGTTTAGTATTGTTTTTTTTTTTTGTTGTACTTGTTGTTGCTCAGTTTTATTATAAATATAATAACTTTATAATAAAATATAAATAAACTATACTTAAAATAAATATAAATATAAGTAATTTAGATCATAATATGTTTGAACATTTGCCTCAAGGATTTGTTTTTATGTTTTTTTTGTACTACCTATTTAGGTATGTATAATTTGAGATTTGATATTGTTTAAAGTGATAACACTATTTGTCTCATTTGAAAGTTATAACTTTTGTTGTTGTTATTACAATATTATTTTGTTTTGTTTGCTTGTGTCCTTTGTGTTTTTGAAGATGGCTGCCGCCGCATTCACTATTGTCCGTGACTCATATTCCGGGATTGTGGCTCACCTGAGATGGTTCACTTCCGCTGCCGCATTGGTGAATAGGGAGGATCGTACAGAGGGCATTGTTGGATAGGCATGAGAAATGCACTACACGACTCAAGGAGGTGGAGGAACATTATCAGCGCTTCATCTCACATCTGGATGATGTACCTCTGGAGTCATTCCCGGAGCATCGGCGCGGAACAAGTCCATGAGGACTACACCCAGATTATGAACCTGGCCGACGACATCGCCCAAACGCGCGCGAGTAGGTTCTAGCCTCGCGCGCCGGAGTACCGCCTCACAGCGCTCCCTTGAAAACTCCCGTGGGCCTTTTGACTAAACTACCCAATTTGGATCATCTTCCACGTTTTGATGGTCGGTTTAGACACGTGGCTGGGATTCATTGGCTTGTTCGAGAGCCTTGTAGATTCCAGGGACGATTTGGGCCCGTCTCAAAAGTTGCCTATCTACTCTCTGTGCTTGATGGAGAGGCGAGGGCTTAGTGCAGCACCTCCCCATACGTGACGGGAGCTATGAAGTCGCGCGATCATTGCTCACCAAGCGCTACCACAATGAGCGCTGCCTGGCCGATGCCCATATCGACCAGATTATGGACCTTCCCGTCGTGAGCAATACCGCCCAGTTGAGGACCGAGCTGCTCAACCCCCTCCTAATAGCCACTAACTCTCTCCACCGCTTGGGACTGCCGGTTGCCCAGTGGTCTTATTTACTGGTGCGTATCGTACTTTAAGCGGCTGCCGGTGTCCTTGAGGGCACGCTTTGTGAACAGGGGCACGCTAGGGATGAGGCTTCTCCTCTCCCTACTTTTGAACAGCTCCTGACCTTCCTGGAGGACGAGTGTCGCGCATGGGTGACGTTATGGTCGCCTCTACACCGGTGTGGGAGCATCAAGTCCCAGACCCACCAACCAAACGTCGCACTGCTCCAAACTGCGCCAAGGGGAAAAATGACTTCCCGCTTTGCTGTCGCTCAGGCCGCACGACCGGACTGCCGATTTTGTAAGTCCCAGGGGCACAAAAACGGCGAAGTGCCCGGAATTTGCAGCGCTGCATGTGGCCGCTCGTAGGCGGATTGCTCAGGCCCGAGGCTGGTGCTTCTCATGCCTAGGGGACCATTATCAGCGCGCCTGCCCCGACACGCACCCGTGTCCTGTTTTGCAGAGGGCAGCACTTGAAACTGCTGTATGTGCCAACGCGAATGGCCGCCGCGACCACGCGGGGTCGCCGTTCGGGCGGGTATGTGAGCGGACGCCGGGACCAGTCCCGCAGTTTTGAGTCCGGCTCATCCCCCACACGCCGCGCAGATTGCGCTGCCGTTGATCGCCGACATGGTTCGGGTGCGCAGCCCCACGGAGCGGGTATGTGAGCGGACGCCGGGACCAGTCCCGCAGTTTTGAGTCCGGCTCACCCCCCCCTCGCTGCGCAGATTGTGTTGCCGTTGACCGCCGACATGGTTCGGCGGTGCAGCCCCACGGGCTGGTATGTGAGTGGACGCCGGGACCAGTCCGCAGTTTGGAGTCCCGCTCGCCCCCCTTGCCCTCGCGTGACCAATCAAGGTCACCTCGAGGTCGTGTACCCACGATTACTGTGATGCAAGTCCGGTACGACTGCCATCCCCCCCCTCTGGCGGAGCGTCCCCGTTTGGAGTCGCGCAACCCTCGATACGGACGCTCCAGGGGCTATAAACCCCCGACTATGGCTCGTGGCAGTCGTCACCGAGGGGAAGCAGAGTTCAAACCCTTCCCTCTTTCTGACGCGCCGTCCCGGCACTGCGGCGTTCGATCGCCGCCACGCAAACATTAGGATGTCGGCGTCTGCCCCCGCTATGCACCGCCCCCTTTTGAGACCGTCCTCTTGCCCTCGGCCTATGTCAGGGTCTGGGGACGGACGGGTGCCTCGGTTGTAGTCCGAGCGATATTGGACACAGGCTCACAAGGTTGCATAGCCTCGTCTTGGTGGTAGGGCAGACTGGCCAGACTATTAAAAGTATTCAGATGTAATCAGAGGTGTCGGGGAACGCCCCTGTGGCCACGGTTAAGGGCCGCGTTTGGCTTGATTTCTCCCCCTCAAATTCTCCACGCCCGACGTTGGATCGTCGCCATTTGTGATGGAGAATATCCTGGGCAGCAACCCGCAGTTCGATTGTCTGCGGATGCGGTAAAATTGACCGCTGGTTTGAACTTGGCTGACCCTAAATTTGACCTACCTGGCACGGTAGATTTGTTGCTGGTGTGCTGATGTTCTGGGCAAAATATAACTATTGGTAAGGATCGTGTTTTGCAGCAGGTGGCCTAGTGGCCCTCCAGACCATTTTTGGGTTCGCATTGATGGGGCCTGTATTGAGGGTTCTCCCCCTGTCGAACTTGGAACCGGCCTTAATGGTGGGCTCCGCCCTTTCTGATTGCCGTGCAGAGATTTTTGGGAAGTGGAAGAGCCACCACAAGCTGCCCCGCTCTGATCCGGAACATGAGGATTGTGAACGTTTTTCTATAATAATAACACTCACTTACCTCCGTTCGTATATTTTTTTAATCTTGGCCGGATCATGACAAGATTGCCATTTCTCACCGTACGTCCGCCCTTGGCAACTCGCGGCCTACTGCAGAGAAGCGTTTGCTGGCAATGGAGCGCCGCATGAGCAGGGACCCGCTACTCAAGGAGAAATATATTGACTTCATGCGGGGAGTATGAGGATTTGGGACACATGTCCGTGTCAAAGGTTGACTGGAGCTATCGACGGAGCATTTTTTCCTCCCGCATCATGCGGTAATAAAAACCATCAAGTGGCAAGCTGCGCACAGTATTTGATGGTTACTGCGCAGACCACATCGGGAGTGTCCTTGACACCCAGTGTTCTCTTTCACTCTGCTACGGTCCCAAATTTCTTAAGGACCTTTGTGACGTCATCACTCGGTTTCGGTGTCATCAATTTGTTTTTTGTGACTGACATCAAGATGATGTTCAGGCAAACGGTAATTCACCCTGATGATCGCCGATATCAGTTGATATTGTGGCGGAAAAACCCGAAAGATCCCATGCTTGTTTACGGAGCTCAACACGAACACATACGGGCTACGGTCTAGCCCCTTTTTGGCCATCCACACGCTCGCTTTGGGGAGCTCGCGGATCGAGAGCGTATGTCGTTTCCTCGCGCAGCCGCCATTTTGAAGGAAGACCTGTATGTTGATGACATATGCACTGGCGCGTCCTTCACGGAGAGAGAGGCTCTCTCCTTTTGCGTGACGAGTTGATTGGAATACTAGCCTCCGCAGGATATGGAGCTGCGTAAATGGATCTCCAACTTGCCTGCGCTCTTGGAGGGGCTACCGGATGACCACCAGCAAGATCCTCAACTCTTTGAGAATCGTGACAATCCTGCCATGATGACAGTACTTGGAATCCAGTACAGACCAGTCCAGGACATCTTCACATTTAACGTTGACTTGGATTCGCCTCATACTTGGACGAAACGAACTGGTTCTTTCGACTGTCGCGAGAACGTTTGATCCCAATGGCTGGATATGCCCGGTCATATTCTGGGCCAAATGCTTCCTGCAGAGACTTTGGACTGCAGGTCTCGGATGGGACGAGCCACTCCGAGAAGCTGTTTTTTGGAGGACTGGCTCCTATTTGCTTCCTCATTGCCTGCCATCAATAGAATATCGTTACCCCTGCTATGCTTCCTCCAGGGAAGTATACAGCGTCCTTTTCATGGGTTTTCGGACGCTTCGGAACGAGGGTACGCAGCAGCCGTATATTTGCGCACCGTGACCATAGATGGTCATGGTGAAGGTGTCGTTAGTCATGGCGAAGAGCAAGGTCGCGCCTCTTCGAACTCGTTGACCCATTCCTAAGTTAGAATTGTCGGGAGCGGCCCTTCTTGCTCGCCTCTTGAACCATGTCATGTCTACCTTGCGCCCGTCAGTTAACATTACCACAGTCTATGCATGGACTGACAGTCAAATTGTTCTGTGTTGGCTGAAGACGTCGGTCCACACCTTAGAGGTGTTTGTAGCAAATCGTGTCTCTCAGATCCAGAAATCGGAGACCCCGTTGATTTGGAGGCATGTGCCTGGCGAAGTCAACCCTGCTGATTGTACGTCACGTGGGATGCATGGCCCCCCTGTTTGGTCTTGAGCACTCTTGTGGTGGGGACCTGAGTGGTTGACTAGATCAGAACCTAATTGGCCCCGAACACCGGCCTTGGATACTGTCGCGTTGCCTGGACTTCGAACGCTTGCGATTGAACGGCAGGACCGTCCGTTCGACCCAGATTTTTTAATGAATCGCTACAGCTCATTGGATAAATTGCTGAGTGTCACCGCTTGGATTAAGCGCTTCATCAGAAATTGTAGACACCCACGGGACAAACGTTTGGAGGCGTTCTTATCGCCGCGAGAGCTCCAGGATGCTCTTCTTCATTGGGTTCGTTCTGTACAAGAAGCACACTTTGAGAACGAGATTGACATCTTGAGGAGGGGCAAATCCAAGTTGTCTGAGACCATTTGCAAACTGAACCCCTATTCTTGGACAGTGAGGGTCTTTTTTTTTTTTACGTTACGTGTCGGAGGGCGTCTTAGGAACGCAAACCTCCCTTATGAGCTCGTCACCCCCCCCTCCTGTTGCCCAAAAGTGGCCATTTGGTGAATTTGTTGGTGACTGATCGTCACATCAAGAACTCCCACGCCGGCTGTAATGCCTTATTCGGCCATTTTACAGCGAGAATTTTGGATTTTATCGGCCCGACGGACGATCCGTAGCGTGGTCTTTCGCTGCATGCCTTGCTATAGGCTCAAGGCCTCTACCATGCAGCCTATCATGGGTGACCTGCCTCAGATCGGGGTCACTGAGATAAGACCCTTTGCTGGAGTTGGTACGGACTTTGCAGGTCCCTTTTCAGTTAAGACTTCGACCCTCAGGAACAGTAAAACGGTCAAGGCTTACCTGTGCGTTTTTGTCTGTCTATCCACCAAGGCGGTACATTTGGAACTCGTCTCAGCCCTCTCGACAGAGGCCTTTGTTGCAACGTTAGATAGATTCGTGTCACGACGAGGACTACATCCTTGATTCGGTCGGATTGCGGCACCAACTTCAAAGGCACAAACAACTATTTAAAAGAGATATGTGATTTTTTGGAGTTCTAACAAGACTGAAATTGCTTCTAGACTAGCTAGTCGCCAGAATAACTTGGAAGTTCAGTCCCGCGTCATGTCCCCACTGGGGAGGAATATTGAAAGCGTGGTACAGGTTGCCAAGACACATTTGCGACGAGTAATTGGTGAGTCTGTATGACATTTGAAGAGCTCGCAACTGTGTTTTGCAAAATTGAAGCGTTTTAAATTCACGCACCGTTATGCCCGATCTCTTCAGACCCTAACGACTTGGAAGCCCTCACACCGGGCCATTTTTTGATTGGACAGCCACTGAACGCCCTGCCGGAAAACCCCCTTGTTGATGTGAAACCCAATCGTCTCTTGCGGTTTTGAATGGTCCAACAACTCACTCAGAGTTTTTGGAAGCGTTGGAATTTAGAATACTTTGCACATTCTCCAGCAGCGCGTTAAGTGGACTGAAAAGACTGATCCACCTCATGTTGTGGTGACCTCGTTCTGGTTAAGGACGCTAACTCACCGCCACTGTTGTGGGCGCAGAGGGCGCATTCTTAACCTTGTCTTTGGAGCAGATGGAGTGCCCCGTTTTGCTGAGGTCCGTGTGGACGGTTCTGTTCTGAAGAGAGCGGTATCAACCTTGTCACGACTGCCAGTAAATTAGCGGCCAGGTAGTCCTGGCCGAGGCGGGTAGATGTTATAAACCAAAACTATTGGTATGCGCACGCAAAAAACCTAAGAGTCTGTGTCACATCATTTTGACTTGACAGTGACAACTGTCACTTGACTTATCTATGCGCCGGCGACCCCTGCTGTCGCCCTTGCCGTTTGACCTTTTGAAAATATACGCCGCGTGTTTGATTCATCTCGGGAATTTTGCCCTTTTTTTGTGATGGTTTTGTGTGCGGCATATCTAAGATTGGATTGTTGAATAAGACGTGTAAATAACATATTGATAATTGTAATTTTGATGAGCACGGGCCCGTTTTGAGTGCATAATTGAATCGCCCACGTGCCGACGTAAAACTTGTGAAATAAGAATCAATTGACTTTATTTTGTACTTATATGAAAGTGAACTGACAATTCAGTGTAAACTTGTGCGTATTTGAGTGCCTACGCCGTATGTCGGCCTTCTAGGCGCATCCTGGAGCATCTTCATCCTGCCACCTTCAGTTGAGTATAATCAGTTAGCATTAGACGTTATGATTGGCCAATTGTAGTTTAATGGTAATTAGATTTATACCTAAGGCAGCATCATTGAAGGAGAAGAACGCAAGGTACTTTTTTTTGATATATATAAGCGCTGTGTATCGCAGTCATATGTTCGTCCCCCTTGAACCTGGAGACATTTCACGCTTCCACTCATCACTCTGGTAAAACCCCAGGTCGGATGTAACATATAGTCTATCTATTTCATACTAGGGACGAACCTGAGTGAAGACGTGAGGGTTCACTAGTTGAGTATATAATAGTAATAATAATACATTTATTGACGTAAATACAATAGGGTTACAAGACATTTCTTTAAAACTATATAGTTAGCACAATCTTTGTTTAGGTATACTAACGTCTGAACTAGGCCGAGCCTGTATCTCAGACCCTAGCCTCTTCCTATTACACAATTTGTTTATTGCTAATAAATTAAATTTAACATAATACTAAAAATATATATGTTATACAATGTAAACATTTCGAGATATAAAAACAAGTTTAGTATAAAATGATTAATTTAATGGAATATAATTTAACTAGCATTGCCCGCGGCTCCGCCCGCGTTCAGATGACCAAAAACCAAATTAGATTAGCTTAGGTTTTACATATTAGTATACTCTTACAATGCAGTTTTTGTATTTTTTCTTAAAAATAAGATATTTTCCCGTGGTAAAAAGTACCCTATATGTTGACCCGAATAACCAGTTATCATCATACCAAATTTCATCAAAATCTGTCCAGTGGTTTTCTCGTGATGCGGTAACAGACAGACAGACGGACGGACGGACGGACGGACGGACGGACGGACGGACGGACGGACAGACAGACAGACAAAATTCTAAAAACTATAAATTCGGACTCTGTATCGATAATAATGTCTATTTCAATTAGATTTTCCAAAAAAAATTAATGTACAGATTCGACTTAGTTACAATTATAGTATATGTAAAGATGAAAATATTTACGTTGCTGTATCCTTTGACTTACTCTCATTTGACATTCCTTTTATTAAGCGTTCCGGCTTACGCTTCCATATCAGAGATAAGACGGCATATGATTAAACTGTAGGATAAAATAAACATGAGATGTTGAATGCTTATTTAATACTCTACAATTATAAAATTATATGGCTTTATTAACTTAAAAATATTCAATTAAATTAAATTTTCTCGTTAATGGCTATAAAGCGTGTCAGTAGAGCACAGATTACTTCGTCAATGTCACATAGAATGGAGATTGGTCGGTAGAGTCTGTGCGGAAAGAAAACCGTCATAAGATTTGAGGGCGCAGCTTTCTTTTAATTACCGTATTTGTTATGTTGACAACACTATAGTGAGATCTATGTGAGAATATAATGTTTTCAGATTCCGTCTTAATAATTGTTTTAAGGAATGATTTTAATGATAACTGTTAAAGATATTTCTGAATGGATGTCATGTGCATTTTAAATCAATTTTCTAAGTAGTGTTACGTTCAATGAGTTCGGGGATCGGAAATAAAGGACGTATTCTGCACTACAGTTGTTTTAATGCTTTCGCTTAAAAATAGATTTATAACCATTCACAAACACACGCACATCTTCCTTTACGTTTTTTCCCTGGCGTGCACCACATGCCATTATTTATGGAACTTTCTTTTTTTATTTTAGATACTGTATCTTTTCAAATTCGGGAAATTGTTACTAAGAATTCCTTGACAAAAATATTCAATCACTATATTTGGCCCAACTGGGGTACGTATCTAGGACCTCCGAATCTACAGCTACTATATAGATAGTGTCAGTCATGGGTGCTGGGAGGGAAGTACAAGTGGGTGCATCCTGCCATAAAGGAAAATATATAGAAAAAGTTAAGAAAATAAAATTGTATTAGTAAAATTCCTGTTTAAATTTAGATATCTGCAAAAAAAAGATGATACACATATGAATAAAAACGGTAAAGTTAATCATTTAATGATTAGTTAGTCGTTTAATGTAAAGAAGCAGATAACCCCCATAGAAATAATTTTCCCGCTGCTCGTGACATCAGCCAAGTACGAGATAATTTTTTCACAATTTAGACTATATTCACCCCATGTGATAATATGTAATACAATACATCAAATGAGGTTTAAACATAACAATAAACCTTAACAAAGCGTTATCTTCAGAGCTTATCGAGTTACAGGGTCATTGGATTGCAAGCTGTGGTCGGAAGTTCCATGATGCATACACTAATACTATAATAATATTGTACCTGCTGTATTACCTAACTTGTAACCAATTAAAACTTCGAAAAAAACGGTTAGAACCGATTTTTATAATAAACTAGCAGAACCTGCGGCTTCGCTCGCGCTAGAACTACAAAGAAATCTCTAAAACGGTAGGTTACATACAAACTTTCATTCCCTATGTTACCCCCTTATAGGATGAATTTCGAAAAATGCTAAAACACGTATTTATTTATTTGTACTGAAGAGCATTAATACCAAGTTTTAAATAATTCTGATCAGAAATAAATTTTTAGATTGTATTATAAAGTGTTTTCCTGTGGGAATGAGATGATCTCCCGGCTGACTCTTCACGTCTCCAACTTTCTATCACGCC